AAAAAAAAGAATTTCTAGGGTCAGCCACAGATTTAGCCTGGATGGAACCAGGTAGGTAAATTCTCCCAATAAATGATGGCCCAGTCATTGTTAACAATTTTTATGAAGCTATGTACATGAGGCTGGCATACATCTGTCATTGTTTGGCCTTTCAGGCTAGGTTCTGGAATGAGCTCTCTACAGCTTCCTTTGATTAGTTCTGTGCATTGTTACACAGCATACAAAACTGAACAGGAGAAGCTGAGTCACACATAGTCATAAAAGATATTACAGCCATCTTCAAAAATTGTCAGACCTCCCAAGACTGAAAATGTAGTCTTTTTTTTTTTCAGATGTGATTCAACGAGTATCAGCCAATGACCAGGAAAGGGGAGAAGAACTGGCAACTTAAAGAATATTCATAGGAGAGTTAGCCATCTACCAGAACCCCAGACTGGATTTTCAGGGCCAAATGCAGTAATGATGAAAGTAGTGTTTTGGTATAGCATACACGCTGGCTTATCTTTTGACTAGGCAGATTGTGGAAACATTTGCAGCTCTAGTGGATGGGTTGCACTGCAGATGTAGGAAAGGAGGGTGGCTGCCCGGCCATGCCCACAAAGCTGGAGGCTCCAGGAAAAACAGGAACTCAGACGGCCATTGAAAGACCTGGTAAACTCAGAGAAGATAACCCTGTGCATCTCGGCATTACAGTCCATCCCAGGCTGGAGATTTAGATTTACAGCTCAGTTGTGGGGTAATTCTGCAATTTTACTATAGTTCCAAATGCAACAATTGCAGAATTCCCCCAGGACTAACAGCTAACTGTCCTTCATGCTTTATTTTCCACTCATGCAGACAAGTAACTTCATGTGAAGGCAAGGATGTCAAACAAGCAATTTCCTTTATTAAAGAATACCTTCAAATGTTACTTATATTTATAACATCCCTGAAACACAATGAGATTGCTTTCTCATTTATCAAAAAGAACTAAGTTGAGAACCTGGCCTCATCTGTACGTATTGCTACATTAGAATCGTGTAAAATACATGTTGGAATAAACTGCATAGACGCAACATTCACCTCTGCCCTGAGCCCCCACAAGGACCTCAGCAACATCAGGTAAATCCTCTAGTTATATTTATAAATTACAATTACTAATCATCCTAATGGCAATTCCTTCTATAATTTCAGAAAATTTCCATCTCACATAATTCTCAACTCCATTATTTGTAGACTAATTCATCTATAGAAATACCTAATTTTCTCTTTCCATGCACTGTGCACTCCAAGAAGATCTATTTTATTTCAGATACTGTGCAGCTTTTGTTTCTGTCACATCAAATACACTTTTATTCCTTAGCTGCTTACAAAAAAACAATGAATGTTCACATGCTACCAGCTTTTCTATATATCTCCATGCATCTCTTTGATCAAACCCTTCCAACCATTCAGGAATAATCCATGGGTAATTATAACTTCTTAGCTTCCTTAGCCTAAAAGGAGCCTACTTATCACAAACTGTCATGAATTCTGATTAAAAATTATCAAGAGCCCAATTACCAACAGGAATAAAAGATCCCTCTTTCCAATTAAAGTGATTGATTTCATATAAAACCTAGTAACATTTCACTTTTTAATTATGCACATTCTTATCAAATGTGAAGAGGTTCATCCTGATTTTATTTTCCATTGAGTAAATTTAATACAACAAACATTAATAATATGCTGATATAATGCCAGACCTAACAATACTTTCACCATAATTTGACAACATCTAATCTCTCAGAGTACTATG